GCCAGCATCCGGTCACTCACCTGTGTTGTCAGGATCAGTGAAGAACGGCTCGACGCTAACAGTGCAGTCTTTAATTCTATCTTGCAAACCTCCGCGCAGATGGATGCCTTTGTTGTTGTTTGGACCGCACGTCACCTGGAACCTTATATCTCGCTCTGGTTGGTCATGGTATGTTGTCAGGTGTTCAAATGCTTTCTCGACCTGATGGTAAGGATTACAGTGCCACTACAGTAAGACAACAAGACAGCCGTGCCATTTCCGTAATTACATATGAACTGTAATGATTCATACACCAAATTAAAGATAATTACATATGAACTGTAATGATTCATACGTCAAATTAAAGCTAAAGGGCAGCGGATTATAGAAATGCTAAAAATACGCTCTGTTTGCTGTACACCTTTAATAGAAGTAAATAACCGAGTAACACGTAGAAAAAATAATGATGGTGTTCTGACAGATATGAAAAAGACTGTAAGAATAAATGACGATGACACCCCATCATATTTTACTTCTGTATTTTGAAATTAATGTTACATATGCCCATGAAAAAAAGAACACATATCACGTATTAGAGAGAACACAACATAATCATAAATCACGAATCATACATATAGGAACAAATTAACAGAAATATTCTTCTGACAAGAGTTGCTACAACCTTAAATTTGATTTTAAAATATGCTGTCGCAAACATCCAAAATAATCAGGACGGACTCCAAACTGAAGCAGTTACTTGTCTGTGAAAATACAAGGTCTAAAGTTAGGTTATGTTAGGGCGACGGACTTGTATGCTAGAGACTTGAGATACGTGACTAGCCAAATACATAACGTTCTTTCTGCAAGTCTCAGGTCCAGGTTTAGGGCTGACTCAACAAAGAGGCCCAACAGCTAGGCTTTCTGTCCTTCCTCTTTTTGCCTGAAGACGAAAGAAGACCCAGCTTCCAAAACGTAATTTCATCGAAATATATACAACAGACAAGTCTGAAGTACCACTTTACAGATCACAACTTTAATGCACACTGTGAGAACTACGTCCAGCAAGTCTCTCGTACTGACCATTATCTACGTTGTCATTACATCATCCTGCCCCTCCACCATGAGTTTATTTATTCACCATTTCGCTGAGGGCAGAGACCAAGAAGGGAAGGAGGTTACAAACCTGCAGTAGTCCACGGCCCTGGGCAAAAAAGTCAATTGTTTCAAGGTACAATGCCGTGTTCTCCAAAGCCCTCTTCACGCTATATGGAGAATATCGTAGTGACTTCTTCTCAAGGCCACACAACAAAACAGCTGAAACAAAATTTTAACACATTTTTAAATACGTGCTTGAAGGAGAAATAAAGCGGAAGAGAAGGAGAAGAAGCAGTGTCATGCTCTGATGCACTTAATTACATATTCTTGACTGTATGTGAAGCGTGGACTTGATGGAACTAGTTTACGATCACACCCACTGACATCAATTGTACTGCCGTACTCACCTACAGCTCCACAAACATGAGGCGAAGCCATGCTAGTGCCATTCATGAGCTGGCAGTTACGCAAGGTGAACTTGGGCACAGATGTAATAGCACCTCCAGGGGCACACACAGTGACGCCATACTCCCCATCTATAGTGGGGCCTCTTGACGTCCAAGTATATGGCATACCCTGGAGTTTCTGTCGCAGGGAGTACTCTGCCACCATCATGTCTGGGGACACATATGCTCCTACACCTGCAACAAATCATGAAGAGATGGCCATCGCAAGTGTGATACGGCGTGATATTGGTTTCTACATTAAGTGATTAGGTCTCATGTTTGATACGGCGTGATATTGGTTTCTACATGAAGTGACTAGGTCTCAAGTAATTAAATGATGTTGCATCATGTTGCTGAGGTTATGAAATGTTGAATGGGATGGAAAGATTATCACAAATAACGAGTATGCACATATATGGAAGGTAGCCTTTGTAACAAATTGAAACAATAAATATGTTCAACCTGAACGGCCAGTTCTGTAATTCTGTTTTCAGCATTTTTATCAAGACATGAACATGGCGGCCAAAGAAATTCAAATCACTCAAATGTTATTTTACTTCTTATGGGACATTTTCTTATAAAGGCTGGGAATTTGCTTTTGTAAACATAACAAATCCCATGTTTATAAATTACAAGATGATGCATATATTCTTCTTGTATAACGTTTCACACTGAATCTGATTTTAAAGTCATCAGCTTCTTTGTATAATAAGCGTACATTCCTTTCCGTGACCGAGTGGTTAGCATTCCTCCTTCATATTTGGGGAGTCCTGGATTCAAATCTTGGCTTAGAGAATTGCTATTCTGACAGGTTTTCAATGGTTTTACTCAGTCCCTCCAAAAATTCTGGGTCAACACCTTCAAATAGCCACAATTTCTTTCCATCTCAATGGTATGAAGTTTGGGCTACTGACAGTATCGTTTAATAAACCATTTTCCTTAATAAGGAACATGAGATTTATCACATCAGCGTACGTGCAATTGTGTGTCCGAGTGCAACTTGTGGCCACTCGTTATGAGAATAAAATCAATGTATATAATCACATCATCAAAATCACCATGTGGTCACTGAGGCAGAAGCATCACGGTGCTAAAGGAAAATGAATTTCTAAGTGGCAAAAGATCTTGAACAAGGCAAGAAAAGTGTGCCACAAAACGAAGTAAATATACGTGTGCCGAGATTCCGCAAACCTCACTGGCTACGAAGATTACTTACTGCACTCACAGATCTATTGCAGCACACTGCGATCGGTCAGAAATTATGTTTTGTTTAAATTAAATATTTGTACTGTCAAGAATACTTAAAAACAACTCTATCTAAAATCACGTACCTATGACGCTGTTGGTACTAATATCAGGAGGACTTCCGATGGTACAAAGTGCAGGGCCGTGGTTTCCCGCTGAGGCGACCCAAACAACACCATACTTGTTGATCACCTCATTCATCAGCTCCCCGATCCGCCTGGAGAAAAGAAGTTCAGCAGACAACACACCCATATCAAAATACTATTAAGTCCATTGTATAATGATTAGGTATTGAAAAACAGGTCCTTTATGCATTTTTAAGTTCAAATCTTATATAAAACAGACTTCTAAGGCACATTATATGATTATAAAAAATCTACAACAATTTCAAATCATTAAGATATAACAGAACAGTTCAGTAGAAAACAATTCTAATTCCTATAAAATCGTACAGGGAGATGTGCCTCACCAATTCAAAGCAAATGGACTTCTGATCCGAATCAATGCTACTGATCGCTCAAGAAGATTTTATAGTCCCTGTCAAATCTTCAAGTCCTAATATTAACTCTGCCTTGTCAAAAACCTAATTGTACATAAATAATAAGACATTAATTTATAGACATCTCGAATTTCATTCAGAAAATTGGAAATTCCGTTCTAATAAAATTCAAAAATCTGAAAAATATTTAGACACACGTATGTGTAGAACATGAAGCAATAATAAATTAATATTCTGACATTAAAACAGCAGTATCTTCCAATTTACACACACTTCCTCACAGAGGTTCCTTTATCAAAATTATGTATATATTTCTTGTCTCTCCCACATAAGCACGTGTCCAGCCTATAGCATTCTTCTCAACTTCGAAAGCCTCACAATATTACGGTATGAACACACACCACGAAAAGCCATCATTAAATAATAACCTGCAGTTCAAATTACTTAACACATGTCATGGGCAAATATTTTTCCTGTGGCGCCCGCATTCTTTCTTCCAAGAGAAATCCAGAGATTTGCTGTACTGACAATACACAGCGAGTCTCCTGCCATTGCAACACGTGGATGGAAGAGAGAACCTCCAAGTGAAAAAGAGGTGGGACATTTATCGACTAGAAGCACAATCACCACGTTATGAAGTACTCTGTTTCATGCAGTTACGTAAGATACGAACCCAGAACTAGAAAAATGTGCGTGTTCCCCATAGCTCATATTAATGACATGGATTTTATTTGTTTCCGACTGCTGCATCACTCGAATCATTGCTCGCACCAGAGCTGTGCCAGTTTCCATGGAGCCCAACCGATTGTCACCTGGTAACAAAACATTCATTACATCCCAAACGCACAATGAGCATGACATAGCGGCGAAACATATTTTTTTTAACACCAGCATCAACATCGTCAACTGTACATGTACCTGTTCAATAGTATTCACTGTCTCGTATGTTCATTAACACATTAAGAGACCCTGAGCCTGGTGAATCTCGTTCAATACATTCACACTCTTCTTCTCTAAGACCCACTTTAATATTATCCTCCCATCTATGATTAGTTCACCCATGCAATCTCTTACCTTAAGGTCTTGTGATCAGTTTCAGTCCTAAAAATTATGATACTCTTCGACAATTCTTCACAAAAATATTCCATTTTTTTCCACTCCATTTTGAGCACCACGTTTACTATTGATTTCAGAAATCTAAAACATTTAATTTATTATATTCTCTTCAGTCACTCAAACTTTTTAAATGTTAATTAATATAAGAAATTAAATTTTGTTTTACCCGTTATTTAACCCAGATTTATGATTACTATAAAAATCTGTGAACTCTTTTATGTGCTCTCGTATACAATCCTGTAAAACGCACAGCACAATGAAATTTACCTATCGTTAATGATACTATCTGCGCGCCGGGAGCGACTCCGTTCCTTTCAGGACTGTCAGGGAAGTACGCGGCGGCTATCGAGGCAACGTGAGTACCATGGCTTGCTGAAATACAAAACACAATGACGTCTACATTGAGGCAGCTTCAGTAAAAAAAAAGAGAATCGAAACGCTAATTCAAATGTGGAGCACCAAACGTATTCTTTGCAATTTTGTACACCTCACTGTGGCCACGGTGTCCATCTACCTCTGATACAAATCTGTTGCTGTAAAGCTTTATCACATCAGATACCACACTGAAGAAAGAAATTACTTTTCTTCACACGTGGTTAAATACACGTCCGAAAAAAACGTTTCATACAAGAAGAGCAAATCGCAATAACATTAAATGTTGAACACTGGGTTTCATTAATTGTACTCACAGCACATGCTAACAACTTCAAGCGTGTTTCCATCATTGTGAACGTTAATACTGTAGGTCAACTGGTCTGACTTGGTGAGAGTCGCAAACTCTTGGGTCAGACTGTACTCCCCAAGCAGGTGGCAACTTGACAAGTCACCGGACAGCGAGGTATCCACACATGCCCTACGCCAACAAATAGTTACATCAGTACAGCAACAACTGTCTTTACTCTAGTACAGACGACAGAGATTACGGATAAGCATAAAAACCATAGGTTATTTAATGGCAAACAAGAACTGGCAAGAAGATTATAAATGGTGATGTAGGAAGGTTTTGGTCTATTTTAACCCTTCGTAAAGATGAGCGATGCTTTAACGAACAATAACTCTGCATTTTTGACCACACAATTAAAAAACAACTGGAAAATTGTTACATATAAATCAGAGATAACAAAACGTCTGGAATGAAGCACTTACCGCCACATCTGCCCATCATGGAACACAACGCAGTCATAAGCTGGTCCCACATCGCTATGATTCTTGTCTAGAGACGTCAGAATCTCAACTTGGGTCTCTAGCTCTTCCTTCTGAAGTTTGTCACTGGCAGTTGTTGGCTGCGGGCTCTTAACTTCAAATTCCTACGGGGCAGAGTAAGAAGCGTTTAATAACAGCGCATGGGGCTCAACTAATACCACAATGCAAGGTACAGTAACACATATTTTTTTTTACAAATATTAATCTGAAGTGTTCCTGTATGCGCGCATGAAGAATGAAGTCTTCTCGGGTGATCAGTCACATGAGAGAGTAGTTAGCATGAATATGTCTAGATGGAATGCAACTTAATTAAGCACGTTACTTAAACTGTAAGATGATTTACATTATTCGAAGTATGCACAAATTATTTTTCATATTGGACACATCTCAAACGCAAAATATTGCAATTAAGTATAATAGGAATTATTATAGAAACTTTTTAACAATTTTTACATTCACTACCAATCTCTGTTGGGCTGGGCACCAAGAAATTTATTGCACATAAAAGAAACATCTTTGCAGGACGATCGTACTTGCAGTTTCCTAGAGGCTTCGGCCAAGGCGGACTTGTGGCCAGGATCCCACAGCTTCTCCTTCCTCTCGCTCTCAATTCTTTCTTTCAGTTTCGCAGGATAGAGATCAAAACCATTTTTAATACCAACATGGAAGTCCCCTGTTTTTTAGTTTTGGGGGGGGGGGGCCTATATAGATTCTCAGACACCAAAAAAAGGTAAGATGCACCTTGTTTTCAGAAATTTTAAAACGTGAGAAGAAGTGAGTCTTCAAATTGAGGAAATATGGTACGATAAATTCAGAATACGGTAGAAACACAAAAAGACGCAACTAACTTCACGGTCCAGCACCTTTATCAAAAAACCAATAGTTGCTCAACCAGTCAAGAAATTTCCTACTTGTATCGAACCCACAGTATCATTATCATCTTCACAAAATTGTACCTGTGGACTTTATCCTGGACAAGCTAAAATCAATCCACCACTTCACACCCTAGTTAAATACGACTCACTTTAATATTATCTTCCCATCCACACATTGGTTTTGCAAATGGTATTGTTTAACAAAATTTTTGGAGACGGTGCACTTATTTCTGAAATGTTCCTTACAGGATCAATGGCATAAAGCAGACTAAGAGATACCTTTAGTCTGCGTCCAGACAGACCCTGAATCTCCCCATCCTTCGCCTGCACAACAGTAGACGTGTCTACGTCACCAGCTCCGCTGCAGTCGAAACGTTCTATCACTTTTGGCTTTCCTTCACTTGTCACCTGTAAAGCAAACACTACGACTGTAAATCCAGAGCGAAACTAAGGCCACTTAGTTTCTAATTACTCATCCATGATATGCCTAGCTGCAGTTACTCGGCAAATTTAATGCAATTTACTGTGTTACTGCCATGTTCATACATTACGACACATAAAATAAGATGTTGAAAAAAGAATGTATAATGCCCATATTTGTTTAAATACTTTGAGCTATATAAACTCGTAATTTTAAACTTAATAACCAATTTTAAGCTTTCACAGTGAATGAGCACTGATGTTTAATTTGCTTCTGAGTCCTGTCACAATGTAGAAGTCGGCTTGTTACTGATATTTTACAGGGGCATACTGCCTCAATCATCGGGGCTGAAATGATGGTTGGGAAGCGGCTGATCAATATCAGGATCAGGTCGTAGGGATCGGCTAATGACAGCCAGGTATGAGGAGTGGAGAGATGGAGCCGTGTCTGGGCCAATGTGGAACGGCCCTCTCCGGGGCCCAACAGGAAGGTATGGGCAATCAGCACGGGATGTGGTAAGATCCTGTGAGGTCACAGTTCACTGAGGATAAACCTTAAGAAAATATATTTTTTAAGCACCCAGCAGCTTTATCCAGTGCGAAAACACCTTCAATATGCACTGGAAAGGAGGCTGGGTGGAGCTCAGCCATAGCCTGAGATGCTGTGGAGAAGAAAAATATTTCTGCCCCAGCCAGGAATTCATGCCTGGACATCCACCCTGTTATCAGGCACATTTTAATATTACCTGTCATTTCTCTCCCAGTATTTCAGTCTCACCAATTTTACCATCCTAATAACACAACATGTACCCGTAAATATGAAAATTCCTCATTATGTGATGTGAACATTAAAAGTCATAAATAAATATTAAGTACCTACAAGCACTGTGCAATGATAATCATTGTTTTAGAAACACGTGCCATTATCTGCTGACAACTTAACAGCTGTTTTATGTAAGCCTACCTACTATTGTTCTCAGTAAGACAACTTATCCTTCTTCAAACAATCAGTCCATTCTGTTTGTAATGAAGACAGAACACACAGCCCAATCTACTGCTGAAAGATCCCACACAATGGCCTTCAGAGGAGCAGTTCAAAAGTAAAATTCTTCTGTAACCACAATAACAAACAGAAGTATGTCATGACTACTAACTCAATGAAGCACGGTTCTTCTTGAGAAGCCAACAGTCGCTCAGCCAGTCAATAAATTCCCCACCTTTTACGGAACTCAAAGGTTCATTACCATGTTCATCAGATCCCACCACTGCTTCGTATCCTCAGCCATGTGAATCCAATCCATTATATTTCAAGATTCACTTTAACATTATTCTTCCATCTCTGCGTAGGTCTCCCAAACAGAATCTTCCCTTCTCGTTTTCTGACCTAATTTCTACACAAATTATTCGTCTATCCGATACAAGCCTCACACCACACCCAACCAACAATCTCATCCAACTTGTGTCAAACACTGCAATATTTTGCAAACATTAAAAATAATGACACTCCTAATTACATGGGAGAAATGAGAAGTGCATACAAATCTTTTATTGGTAAGCTTAAAGGGAAGAGACCACTTGGAAGACCTAGACACAGATGGATAGGTCAGAGGATTATATGAAAATGAATCCTAAGGAAATAGGGATTTGGGATGTGTGGATTGGATTCACCTGGCTCAGGACAGGGATTGTTGCCATACTTCTATGAACACAGTAATGAGACTTAAGGCTATATAAAAGGAAGAGCATGTCTTAGCTAGCAACTATCAGCTTCTCAAAGAGGGCTATGCTCCATGAAGTTAATTATTTAATTTTCTCCAGCCTCAAAAACTATGACACTATATACTTTGCTTACTTCCATTTGATCATGTCATGTAGAATTATTTTCTGGGGAAAAACAACAGACGGTAAACAAGTACTTTAAGTTCAAGAGAAAATCATTATAATAATGGCAGGCACTGAAAGGAGAGCCTCACGTAGAGAATTGTTTAATAAATTTGATATTCTTCCACTAACCAGCTAATTCTTGTTCTCATTATTATCGTTTGATGTGGACAACATAGAAATTTTTAAAATAAACTCAGATATCCGCAATATAAATACCAGACACAAATATAGCCTTCATTTGTCAGACACTAACCTCAGTAAATATCAAAAAGGAGTTGACTACACTGTAATTAAGCTATTCAATAATCTTCCCTCAGTATAAAAAGTCTGAATCACAATATAAAGAAGTAAACAACAGTAGACAAGCTTTCTTGTGTAATTATTTTTGCGGTAATATTGTAGTTGAATGGTACTGTAAAGTGAACAGTTGATATCCAAACAAGGAGTAGCACGCATGCACAATTCTCTCCGTACACATTTCACTGGATTACACTATTTAAGATAAGGGTGGCAGATAAATTGCAAGAGTCAAATTATGGTAAAATAACATTTTTCTAGCTATAGAACAGAGTGGCCATCCAAAGACATAAAGAAGCTCTTCAGACTCCGAAGGTACGCCGATAAGTATAATAGATTTAAATGAATGAACCACCTCTACAATGCTGTCGTCAAACAGCAATGACATGGCAAAGAATTATTACAAAACAACAGTACCTGTAAACCTGGTGCTCCTGGGTCAACACCTGAATCAAAAATGGCTATTGTAACTCCTCGTCCATCATACTCTGGATATTTAGTTAAAAATGCAGTCACCCCGGTCTCTTTCTTGGGTAAGAGGCCCCACACTGGAAACTCGCACTCAACCACTTCTGCCATTTTGCTAAAAAAAATGTAAGAAAACGTACATCAATCTACATGCTCTCTCGTGTTAGAATTCCAAACTTTAAACAAAGGAAGGCAAATATACAATGCTGCAAACTGTAATGAAGACTTCTTTAAAGACTGCATATATGCAAATATACGAAAAGTATAGTTACAGTTAACAACCGAATAAAGACATAGTATTAAATTTAATAGAAGTCATGTCTTTTTGTTAATATGTTGCATAATTCTCAATTAATTCAGCTGTTTTACCAGATGAATTATGTGCACTATCAACTTTACGATGGTATGGTATACGGCACAGATTATGTCAGGAGGCAGTATATGGTAGGATCACATCAGTGAATCAGCTGGCTGACTCGTTAGAGAAAGATGTGGTTTGAAATAATACCTAGTTTTGCCATTATTACTGTGACCCTGGCTATCCCACCTGTTGTAAAGCACTTTGGACATCTACTGATTTTTGGCAATGTAAGTAATAACGGCAACTTACTGTAAGTGGGTCTGACTCCCACTGGTTTATAACACAACAACATTTACTAAGGAGCTAAAATTATTGTTGTAGTATTGCTGGTTCTGTAGTTTGTAGTCTGCATCTGTGGAATTCAGAGGCATGAATGAAACCAAATTTCATCACTCCCTAAAAAATTAAATATTGACAAAGTCCTGATGAGGCTTACAAATCAACATTGACCACTTTTATGCCTGTTTACTGTTTTTCAGTTATTGCAAGGGTGGATGTGAGGTGTTTGAGTTGTAAAACGAACACTTATTTTTGCAGGCAACCATACGCGATAAGACACACGTGTGGGAAGGTTTTATGTTTCAGCGTGATGAACGGCTTACAGGAGATCCTTATAAAGCCAAAGTGAGTAAAACTAAAAGGTTATATTACTCTATATTTATATTACATAAACATATTGAAACTGTATGGACTGACCCAAACTTTAGGGAATTCACTGTTATTTTGTTATTTCAGGGTCTTGAAGCCATTCCCGATGAGTGAACAGATTAGAACATGAAATTCATTTCCTAGAACAGAAAGTGAAATCATGACTGATGAACAGCATTGTTAGCATGTTTAAAATGTACTAAATATGAATATTGTAAATTTGTAAAAATTACTTGTACGAGAAAAATAAATTATGCACAGTGTGCAAGTAAAATAGGCAATGAGTTTACAGTTGAACAAAAATTAAATATGGTATAATTTACTTAAAATGAAGGATACCATGCAAAGAGGATGGATTCAGAGTGAGTACAGAGATAATACCATATAGATTTGTGAAAGCAGAGTAATGTTTCAGAGGTAATATGCCCCTCTGAAATGTCAGTCTACATGTGTGAGACTATGCATATGCAATGTCCCAGAAGGCTGTCATTGTTATGATAAAACTACATTGAAATTATTTTGTCATTTGAAAAGTCAATGCCCAAAATTCCACTCTTGACTTCCAGACACCTCAGTTCCTTCTAGTTATTTGATTTGATTTTGAGGATGATGGTACACAGCATACTTTTATACTAGGTGTAAAATATAATCAGCGTGTCACGAAACGATATTTATTCCGATACATTAAATACACACTTGTAAATGTATTGTTTCTGATTTAATATAAAGGCACACAAGAAATTAGGCACTGGTCATTCTGTAAGAACTGATTTCTTTAGGGAACAGCTGTAGAATATTACATTTGATATGCAAGGTCCCTTGGTGTTAATATAGCTAACAAAACCCCAAGATAGAAGAGGATTATGGTGACCAAGGAAGAGATGGAGAAATCAAATGGAGATGAACAGGCTCTTTATCTTAATACACAAAGAGGCAGAATAATAATTTCTTTATGATATTTCAAGTATAGTATTATTCAGTCAGTTCAAATGCAAACAAGAAAGATTAAATACTTGAAGGGGCTGATGTGACATTGCTTTTTTGAGTTTCCCAAGAAGCAACACCATCCTGAACAAAGTACACACACTTCTTCAAATGAAAACACTTAAGTGCATATGACAACTTGCAATGTAACACTTTGTGCAGTTAATCTTTTAATATTAAATTTTACTTTAATTTTTTTTAAAGTAATGATGAAATACAGCAAAAATTAAAGTGAAGGTCTTGTTCTGTTTTCAACTGAAGAATATGAGTTGTATAATTTCTTCCTATGTTCTGAAATATTCGTCTGTTTTCACTTATGCCTTAATTTTAATATTTAATTTTCATGATATAGAGATAAATTAATTACATACCCATAAGTAATATAATAATAATAATAATTTATTATCACGCTTTGCATGTCTTTTAAAAGGTATCTGTCATTTCCAATGTCTGACAGTCCCCTGAAAATTTTAAATAATAAACAATTACTTTGTTACCTTCAATATCACAGAACTAGGTTTTCTTCACAAAACAAACACACTCTTGATTATATTAAACATTCAGACTTGTGTAAAAATATATTTATGATGACTTTGTACGGCTAAGCACCAATATCACACACTTAGTAGATATAAAATACATGGGTAAATCATAAAGTAAACTCAGAGTTTCTAATAACTTCAGAAATATTTGTCCTGAAATAGGTTGTTTTTCAATGCATCTTCCTCTTGTAGGAAAACAATTATTTTTTGTTTCTCACAAAGTTTAAGTTACTGAGCCATTTTCATTCAATTGTTAGCATCAACTGTAATCATATGTATGACAATTACAATCTATGAAATCTGTAACCAAAACAAATCTTAGTTTCAAAATCATGTTCAACTTTCATAAAAGTTTCACGGAAGTTATAAAATACAGAGAGGGAGACGTGGAAATAGATCTTTCCCTTTAAATAATTTGAGTTCTGCCGTCTGATTGTCCCATTTAAACTGCAGTATAATTTTGTGTACCAGCGATCTCGTTCAAATTTCTCTGATACCATCGCTTCAAATATGGCATGTGAATTATGCATGAATTGTTAAAATTCTTTCTGGAGCAAAACAGGATAATAATTAACCAACAATATTTCATACTTGCGATAACAATCATTTCCCTGACTTGAGGTATGTACGGACATTGGTCCCTGTTGCATTTGAAGCAGAGTTCATACATACAAACAGTCACCAAATGATACAGCGGTCAGAAGGATTCATTGGGGAATTCAGAGGACAGTTCCACGTTTCAGAAAATTCTGGTGAGTTTGACAGTGAACCAAGAACTCGATATTTTCCCGGACTATGGCTATCTTTGGTGGCTAATGCTTCGTAATCTGGCCCCTCATCCAGGCACCAAATCTGTGGGACAAAAGACATTACACCTATATGGCAACTACCACCTTTGCAACAAAAATCAAAGAGGTTAATATGGGCTGGACATGTAACTTGCATGGGAGGATAGGATATTTGTACGTAAGAGAGATGAGGTGACAAGAGGTTGGGAGAGAGAATTTCATAACGAGGAGCTCCTTGATTCTGCTGGTGTCGGTCCTAAAATTTCAGTACACAAAAACAATTTTCAGAAAGTTGCAATGAATTATTGAAGTGCTAGTTTTGCCAAAATATTAGCTGAAACAAAAATGGTAGTCTGAAATATAAATTAAAAACTTATTTACAGTAATTTTGATAAATGATATACAATTTTTTTTTCTTCAAATAATCAGGTAATCTTCCTCCCTCTAAGCTATTTATGTTTACAAAAAGTGTCAAAAGGGCACATGTCAAAGACGAGCTACTGGAAGAAAAACTGTGGTAACAGAACTTCAATATATCACTGTTACTAATTGTGACTTGAAAAATAGTGTTATTGGATTTTTAACTCTCTACAACATTATAAATAATTCCTTCCACTTTGTTGAAAGTCTCGTTTGTGTGATATATGCCCTTTTCATTCCCATACATTCAATTAATTGAAAAGTTTTAAACTTTGCAGTATAAAACGTAGCTCATGTATGATAGAAGATTAATTTTACATTAAAATGTAGGAAGAGAAGAAATCATATAAATCTTAACTTGAAAATATATTCATCATGTTCTGAAGGTACGTTACGCCAAGTGCAAAACACTATCTTGCGTCCAACAAGGTGTAAAGGTATACTCACATTTGCGAAGGCTAGGAACAGTAACTGATCATGTGAGAACTCTTCCAACCCTGGCAAGACCTGTTCTACGTCATGCCGTTCCTTATACCTCTGATAACCTCTGTATGCTTCCCTTATGCCTCCGTTATCCGCTATGTTTTCCGCCAGAGTACGGAGCCCATCAAGCTGCCAACAATCCAATGCACAATCAAATAAGGTATGATACTTTTCCTCGTGTTGCTAACTTTATCAGTGGAACATACTGCCTCCCATCATCAGGGTCAATGAAGGCAGTATGTAAATTCAAAACATTAGCAACACATGCCACTTTTATACAGAGCCCAAAAGTAGATTCAACGATAAAAATGATTAACCATGGAACTTCTAAATCCACATCAATATTTCCTAACAGTCGTACTGTACCTTGCTACTGCCTGAGCCGTACTGGCTGTATTTATCCACGAAACACTTTGCCCTCTCTTCATAGGCCTTCAACATGTCCGCATTCCACCAGGACACTTTGCTTCCATCTTTCCAATAATTCTTTCCTGAAAGAAAAATACCACTGTATAAAGAACCAAGGGGAATTATTACGGAAGATGTTCAGAGCTGAGGGTCTGGTTTTCAACTTCAGTCCAGTTAATGAAATGTAAATTAATCATTATGACTAGCACACTGTTGTTATATTAGATTTTTTTTTGATCTACACTGGTCAAGAGAATGTAATTTTGGTTCATTTTGACGCAACGTAACACCTACTTTGCAACAAATTCAAATATGTTTTACTGACTTTCCAAAAAAAAAAAAAAAAATCTAAATGTACAAAGAATCTGAAAATGATGTAAATCATGAAGATCATTAATCATCTTCCACTGGGATAGAGTAAATCTTCTGGCACATTTAAAATGTGAGACATAAAATTCATTTGAATTTTACCTTCAATGTCAAAGCCGTGGGTAAGTTCATGTCCCAGTATGCTTCCAATGGAACCATAATTAAGAGCTCTGAAACACGGACAAAAGTTGGTTGTCAAGTGCAAAGCTATCCCGCTACATGCCACGGAGGTGCTCTGTTGGTACAGGAGGTGAAGCTGCTATTTGTTCTTGACCTCAGTGCTAGATAGAGGTGAGCTGTTCAGCATCGTGCTTGACCGCATTTTACCCCCATGGAAAGGACCCCCCCCCCCCCCTCATGTCCATTTGAAACAAGAGTAATTGGTCCCAAAATCTCAAAGAAATATTCTCTGCTTCTGTCCGGGATCAGATCCCTCGATTCTTTAAGTAAAACTAGTCTTCGGTGTAATCTTGATCAAACAAAAGCATTTCTTTATTTTAAAATTACTGTGGTCCCAAGAGAACCATTAGTTCTAAATTTGACACGGGGGTTACATGTTAAAAGCTGGCGAGCATGTGCTTTAATTCATTTTACCTTACTTTTCTCTAATTTACTTTACTTTAAGCCCATATTAAACTTCGTACAGTAATTCAGTACTTACTCCAGACCCCTATCATAAAATGGAAACTGTAAGATGCCAGCTGGGATTACTGAAACATAAAATGAAAAATTATACGTGGTGGTCAGATCATCTGCCCTCTCACACTAGTTCCCTGAATCCTTTCTTTCCACGTATGTAAATATGTACACGTGTGTGCGCACGTGCATACCATACGTACACATGCAAGTATGTGTATATGTGCGTGCTACATATCCTGCATATTATTTTACTTAATTCAATTCCCAAATAATATTAAATAAAGATTACAATTGTGAAGCTCTTTAATTTTTAAATTTCCTTTTTCTCCTCATTCTTAAGCCCAAATATTCTCCTCAGCTTCCTGTGTTCGGACAACTTAAAGCGAGAAATAGAGTTTCATACCTACACAAAACGAAATAAATGTATACTCGCCAAACTGTGACAAATGCTCGTGTATACTTACTTATTGCGTTTTCTGTGCGGCTGTAGTAAGCGTTCACCTGAAGAGGATCAATGTCATTCCAGCTGGCAGCGTGTGAATAGCAACAATTCATTCTACCATAGAAAATATGTTAGAAGTTCTGTGGCTTTAACAGTTACTACGGGACAAAATTCCTTTCTTACATTACGGTGAAGACACCAACAATCTAGTCAGTCTGCTATTTCATATTACAGTTAACGGAGTTTATAAATTAAACACTTTAGCAAAATCATGTCTAGAATAATATATTTTCTTCTTCTTTTTCCGGTTTAACAATGTTTGTACATTTTCCGGTACCCTTTACGGGTCCCCAACTTTTCCAGTTGTCTTGATCTATGGAAATTCGGTAGGACTCCTTGGACGAGGGATCGGCCCATCGCAAGGCCTCTACCTGTACACAGGACAGCACAACACAGAAAAACATCCATGGCTTGAGTGGGATTCGAACCCACGGTCCCTGCGACCAAGCGGCACAAGACCCACGCCTCAGACCGCGCAGCCACTGCGGACCCCGAATAATATATTTTAAAACTGTATACGATATTAGTTATATCAGTGGTGATATACGGTAGTGGGGTATAGACATGACGTGGTAGAGAGACATGAGAAATAAATGTCTACAACTTGACAAAACCAAATACTGAAATACAAGTGAAACATGAGGTGTAAATTAAAGAGATTAATACACAGGCGATAAGATTGAACAACCATGTAGACATAATGGCTGAAGATAGCACTGAATTTTTAACATTACAGCAAAGAGCAAGAAAAAAGATGAAAGAGATGCTGGAGAGACAATTTAAAAGTTACTACCAAGTGAAATTTTCATCCTCATCACTGTATCACTTCATGTTATTAAATTGGGAATTTCTAGTGCACCATAATTCTCATGGTTTCTGTACTTTATGTACCTTGTGAACTGTGGTCATCTGTTTCTGACACCAAACAAGTGCGGATCAATATTTTGGAAACGCGTATCACCTCAAAGATACGGCCGTCAATCAGTTACAGGAAAGTGGGAAACGGAGGAAGAAAAATGAAGTAGAAAGGGAGGTTCTGAAAAGGTCAATCTTCACAGGCAGCCATCGTACCACAAGTCACAGCTTCCGCACCATGAAAGCCCCTCTGATCTAACAACCTATTAAAAGCTATTGACTGAACGGTAGATTGGTTGGTTACAACAGGAATCTTCGCTATCTTAATATTCGTCTGCGCGTTACCTGACAAAGGTCAAAGTAGATTGTCGTCATACCTGTCGTTCTTCTGTTTTCCAGACTGATAAAGCAGTGACCTTAGGAAGTCCTGCACTTCCTTGGACTTGATCCTGAGGATGTTCCAAAGATACTCATTATCCTCCAGATTCAGCTGGCCTCACACACAAACAAAAGATAACTTTACCCTCTACGTAATATTGTACCTGAGATCAGTGCTTAAACTACGGGTTCTTTAGAGTAAAACGTGGATTTATTCTATTCAGAGTATTTCCAAATTTCATTCTCTTCTTCCAAAATTATTTATGTTAAGAGTTTAACTTTACAGACATTTATTTCAACGTCGTAAAGACCTGTGGACTACCTCCTTACGCGATGAATGCGTGACGATTTCCTATCGGCTCATTAATTACACCATAATGGCACTTGCGACATTCGTTCTTTGCCTGAGGTACTGTATATTTCGTGTAATGATACTTCAGAAGTTGGCGCTCCTGCAGTCATCATGTGATTGATTTTCATTATATTCAAAGGTACTATCCATTTTAATTTTTAGAGCCAAATGCCCAGATGATGCAGCGAACGTATTGATCATACCGAACTGTAACGCTCATCCAACTGGCCAGGTTTCAGGAGCCATTCTTGATAGCCGATGAAACTGGTGATGCCTTCCGCTTTCTCTTGAGCTGCTTTCTTAGTCTCGGGATCGATCCAGTCTCCGTTGTGGACGAGGGAATTGAAACTAGTCTTGATGTCCTGCAGCATTTCTGACACCTGCGCACAAACACTCTATACCTCTGGGGCAGGAAAGAAAGAGACAGAGGAATAAATAAGCACGCAAAAGATGGGAGAAGGAAAAACACAATAAAGGAACAGAAGACGACAGAGAAAGAAATGCAAGGGAAGAAACAGAGAAAAGTGGAGACGAATAAAAAAATAAATAAAATTGAAGAAATGTACATATTTGTTTCAGTTTTTGAAATGCTGTAAAGAAGTATACATTTCTAATTAGCAGTAAATGAAATTTTAAAATATAAAGCATATTTTAAATCGATTCTAACATTTAATACTGAAACATAGACCGGCACAAAGCAAAACAACAAAAAATGGCAAGCAAAATACAAAATTTTTTTGAGATGTATTGTGGGAAAAATAAAAAATGGGGTAGAATGACAAACAAAATCATTAAAGAAGGCGGAATCAAAAAAAAAAAATGAATAAGCATCGTGGACAGCGGTCGAAGGGTGGTCCTCCAGCATGGGTGTTGGGTGTAAGACTAACGACCTTGTTTGTTGCCCCAGGACAGGGTACAGTGGAAGGCTTCGGTTAATTTGGTGATGAACCTTTGGGTTCCCTAAGCCATCTAGTTACTTAGTTAGACAGACAATATAACAGCCTTACCCGCTGTTTTGTATACATGTGGCATGTGGCCTCTTATTCACTTGAAGGCAGTAGTGAAAGTGTTTATCTAATTCTGTTCTTGCCAGCTCAGTTTGAAATTAAATTTTCAGCTTGACAATGAGTTTCTTTATTACCTTGGAGACGGTATTGGCAACGTCGTCCTGCACGGCAAACGTATAGCTGACAGCCATCGGCAGCAATTTCTTCACCCGGCGAAGGCACAAAGTTGACCTGAGGAACATGTCAGCAGTTTATTTATACAGCTGATCCTCCACTAACTCTAAAATGCTGTGGCCAAAAGCCATGGCAGGTATCTGAGTTACCTTTCTTGCGTGTCTGTGCGTTTACCGCGAGGATCGTGAATCCTCATTAAGACTTGTGACAAAACTCGGACAGGTGAACGGCTTGTAACAAGACCAAATTCGTGCCTGTATTTGACAGCTGTGCATTATGCCAGACATCCCAACATATTTAAAACTCTATTCAACATTATTTAATTCTTAGAACAAATGCATTAATTAAATGAAAAAGAAGAGATCGTGTCTCTCGATTCAACCGCCCGTCTGTCTTACTGAACAGAGTTTCTGAAAACCTTGTACTGGGGTGCCTCACACTAAAACTGTAAAGTAAATATAATACTGGCTTTACATACTACTAAATTAAAGATTGATTTTCTCAAAACTACTTGTCACACAAGAAAACAGGTCTCGTTAATATCTACACCTTCCATTTAAAACATTTTTCCAATGCGATAAATATTTAATTAAATATAAGAAAATATAATTTCTGGCTCTGTTCAATGCGATACCTGCCCTGTGATTGTATTTCCAGTGATAGATTCATATCTGCAATAAATAAATATAAAGGAAAATAAGGTTTGTAAAGTTACAAAGAACGCATTCAAGAAAGTATGAGATTCGAGGTTCTGACAGTGACGAAGATGTTGATTGTGGTATCCTGCATTGTACCTCATAGGTGGTCAGCAGCGCTTCAGAAGATCATTAGATCACCTACAGGGCATCACAGTCAACATTTACAAAGTAAATTCACAGCTTTGAAGAAATTCTATGTGTTTCTGCTCTTGAAATGTACTTTAATTTTAGTAAACTGTAACAAATGTGTTTCTAACCTGGAAGGTATTGGTAAGGTCCCATAAATATGCTCCAGCAGTTGGTTGCGCAGGTCCCGCATCACCTTGTTCGTGTGTGGCGCCAGAACCTCCAGCACCTGCCACCATACGTACCGCTCTGCAGAAGAAATGGGGACGGCGTCTAAGTAGCTGACTAACCATCGTACGAGGAACAGCGTCAATAAACACCCCAACTGATAAATTTATGTGACAGTTGAACTCTTTTGTTGCTAAAGTGTTTTATGCCAGTAATATTAATTACATTAATGATTCTAGGCAATTAGAAGTGAAAAGTGTTTTAAAAAGTTACATTTTTGTAAGATTTTGATCTTTCCATAAGTCGTAACAGTTCTCAGACTTCGCTCAGGAACTTGCAAACTTATAACGCTCGAAAATCCATCTGATGGATTAACTTTGCATGATTACACGATGGCTGTTCTCATACATCATTTAGTGTCCACATAGAAGCCCCGTAACGTCTCATGTGAACATCTCAACAAACAGTACGTTGAAACAGGCCATGAGAGCCTACTTCAAAATTATTACACATTTACGAACACTTCATCATCTCACTGAAAGCAAAATAACGCATGTAACTGTAGCGGCAGATTTAAATAACCTGTTATTCGGAAGCATCAGTAAGAAAAAATAGCACTCAACATTTGATTCACTGTCATTTAAATATCTGATACTGTTTGGTGATGTCGAAGCAGTTTCGTGCAGACAGAGAAGTTTGCGAATCGTAGATACTCACGGATGGTTTCCAATCTGGAATTGGCGATGACCGACGCAAGGTTGACGAAGTAGGCAAGATCTGTGACCGTCACAGTCTCGATCGATTTGTTGAACGGCTTCTCTATGCCATCTGTGAGCACTGTGAAGTACTGTTTCCAGTTAATCTGTGGCAGTTTGGAGGAAACACATTAATTGCGATGGTGTTTGTTGATGATCGTACACAAACTGAAGGCAAGACAGGTAAATCAGGGCAGCCAATAAAATAAAAAGAGTGCAATGATATTAGAAGATAAGTTTACGTGTACACAACGCCTGTAGTCTGGAGATATGTCGCATATACAAAGACCTTAACGCTAAGGACAGAAAAAGTGGATGCAGGCCCGGATTGCGGGGACTCACCTTATGGTTATTCTTTGCTCCCTTCGAACTAAAGTCCATTAGTCGCTGCAACTCTTGGATAGTGATCTGCACTGTGCTACTGCTGCTGGAGTTTGCGTCATCAATGGTGATCCCCTGCAAAAAGAGAAAAGAAAGTCTTTAGATAAAAAAATAACTCAGACAAATGTACAAAAATAAAGTTTAAAATTACAACTTATTTTCAGTTCCAGCAGAATTTCTACCTCTGGTAACTAGAAATAAGTTGATGGCTGTCAAATGGGATGCTGACGAGAACAAGATGAGGGCAGCAAGCTTCTCTAGCACACTGTACGACGCAGCATCGCAGAAGATGGTTGTCTCCAAACTTGTCAGTGTGTGAACCTGCTGACCAGATCTGTTTCTGTCTGAACCCGTCCATAATTTTCAGGGTGGCAACAGCAAATGGCTCATGAACACCAGGGCATGTCCATGACAGAGCAACTCAGCGACTAATAAACTAAAGTATTGATTGAACGACTGACGAATAAGCTAATTGGCGGACTGAGTGGTAACAAACAAAATTACTGACTAATCAAGGTGCTAACAAAATTAATGAACGAACTTACTGGTGAAATAACTGTTTAAAGAACTGCCAACCTAACAAATAAATTAAATGTCAGATTCATCAACATTTTCTGGCTCTTACGTGGCTGACATCTGCACCAAAGAGCAGAATCTTGAATACAGCTGACGCGATTGACGACTTGTTGAGTCTGTCTTCGTCAAACTCTTCCTTCACCCAGGAGTCCATCTCTTCCAGCATCCCCATCATGAACGTCATCTTGGCTTTAACAATCTCTCGGGTGTTGAGTCTGATAGCTCTGGGCAGGTTCTCAGGATCTGTCACCAGGAGCTGGATCAGCGTCGAGACTTCCGTCGGTGGACTCAGCTGTTACAAGGTTTTAGAAAATAGATCAGTGCTCAGATATGTAACAACAGAGGGATCAAGGTACCGTAGCAGTAAAGTCTTATCTCCTCCTGTGACGCCATCGCTCTCAGATCTACACATTCCTCTCAAACACCCTCAAGTCTGCGTTCTTCCTTGAGGATGAGAGGAAAAGTTATGGAAATTATTCTACATATTATCTGGCATTTAGACAGGTGTCCAGGGGAGTCTTCTAGGCGTACGACTCTAAGATCTGCTCTGTGCTAAAACAGACCCGAATGAGCTCGAGGGTACACGCCATTCACATGCAAACCAAAGCGACTTAGGGGAGTGTTTTTTCATGCGTGTCACAATCCCAGCGCTGAACTCACATTCAGAACAATTTTCCCATTTTCTGTAGAATCGACGTCTGGACTGAGCTGCACCAGCAGATCCAGACTCATGAGTCGCTGAGCCAGAGCGAGAGTTGTAGCGATGTCCCATCCACGCGCTGTCTGGGCGTTTGGTATTTGTTTGGGCAGACTCAGATTCTGCAGGATCTGCGTGATGGGGTCCAGCCCAAGTTGTTCCAGTGCACCTTCAACAAATAAACTAAATCCTGAGCTAGATGAACCTAACCCACATTTCTCTGAGACTCACTTTAATATTATCATCCCATATAAAACTATGTCTACCAAGTAATTCATTTTCTTCAGATTCACTGACAAAAATTTTGTGTTACGTTTTTGAGCCAGTCGCTTACCAAGATCGCTGCAGGCTCGTAACAGCGACTTTGCTTGTCTGACGGCTCTGGGTTCTGAATTTGTTATGTTCGACGTGAGGAGGTCTGAAATGTGAAACGAGGCGTTTTTCATAAATCGAGGAATGTATCTTGAAGTGTTGGGTTAAAAAATACATAATGTCAAAGTTCATAATTTGTACTCGTCACATCATTACAATTCATGTGAAGAAATCAAGGATAATGGGATGGGTAAGTCACATAGCATGCATGAATAAGAAAAAATACTATAAAATACTTTGGAAAAAAAAATTGGTAGCGTAATATCAAAATGGATCTTACAGAAATATATTGTGAACATGTGGACTGGACTGGTTCACGAAAATAATGTCAACCAAAGAAAACTTCTTTGTATTAATATTTTTAGAATCTTAATCGTGTCATCTGTTGTGAACTCTGACCTCTGAGCTGTCTCAGCAAGAAAAGAGACCGCTCGTTGAACCAGGTGTTCGAGACGTCCATGTCCCTCACCGGGTGGTTTCGGCCCCATTTGCCACAAGCGAATTGGTAGAAGTCTTCACAGGGATCAGCTGATCGGTCCATTGACTCCAGCAGTGAGAATGCTGGAGACATATAACAACGACAGAGACACTGTTGATGTTATACGCCATTAAACTGGCAGCCCGAGAAGAAGCCATTAAAACATGTTTACGTTGTCATTTCTATATCCAACAAAGGTATAAAGTAATAAACATATTTTACCTGATGCGATACACATTTTACTGTTGCATGTTGGCTGACCTGTTAGATTTGCTGAAAGCAAAACAGAACAAAGTTTTAGCAACAGACTGGCAAGTTCGAACTTATGAAGTCGAAAAACAAGGTAACCAAGTAATTCGATTGTTGTCTCAAACCGGTTTCCATAATGTTTTAATGTTTCGTTTTACGTACAATCCCCGATTCAATGTAGTATTGAAGTGTAGGATTATTATCTAATAATAAATTGGAAGGGAGCATGGCTAGTTTAAGATACTATCCGTGAATTTGCTTAGCGAGACAGGAGATAAACAACCTCACTCAAGACAGCCAGTCCCTGCGCAGATATTGAACTTTGGAACTTCCTGAATACAAAGGAGGGCTACGTATTTGGTACTACAATGCATGAAGCCCTATCTGTTTAAAATTTGCTCTGATTATCGTATCATTAATACATGTTTTTAATGCATAAATGACGTTAGTCCCTGAATTCATTATTTAACGATACTCTATGAACATTTGAGGTTATTTTGGCGTAATGATAAAAATATGTCGGATGGGTTAAAATGTGTCATGACCGCTTCCTTCCACATCCGCCCTAAACATGTTTCATAATTACCCTATCTTCGACGTTGCACGATCCATGCAGTTGAAAAAGCGTTGTTAAACAACACTCGAATCAACCATACACACACGCATTACTAGATCTGGCCCTGCGATATCGCTTGCATGTGGAACGCGATATTCCGTCTTCCATTGTTTTTCTCGGTATCCATGGAGATAAAGCAGGGTCATTGATTATTCGACTCAGACAACAAAAGATGTTTTTCTCTGCAGTCAATGACCCGAATTCCTAAGCACGTAATTCGAGTTCGAAGTTCAATGGCGTTATGATTTGAATCTCTGCACGAAAAATCTTCGCGTTCATTCAAATCAACTGTTAACGCCGTTTACGATCTCGAATGAGACGGTGATTATTAAATACCAAATTTAAAAATAAATATGAAACTAAGCGATCGTGGTTTAATATGATGCACTAGATGGACTAAAAAATCCCACGATAAAACCTAAGTCAAAATAGGTGGTCTCCGAGACGAGATTTGAACCCGGGATATTCCGGATATGAAGCAGGAGTACCAACCAATCCACGGCGACGCTCATTCCAATCTGCAGTTAGCAAAAATGATTTACAAACGAGACAAATTCACTTCCTTTACGTTTCGCTAAATATAAATAACTAGAAAAAGCGAAGATTAATTATTTTATGGATTATTGGCGCCGTACAGTCTGGCACAAATTAAACGATGTTACAGAGGTGCTTACTGCCACCATCTTCAGGACTGTTACAACTCAGAAGACCAACGCGGAAATTATATAGAAGCTGAAAACTAGTGATATGTCCCTATGTTATCTTCAGGTACTTTTTATTTATTTATTTAAACATAAATGTGGATATTATTGTAATAATATTTTTCCTCGCAAGTTTCACGTGCAACGCCAATTGTTTTAAACAATTAACAAACAAAGGACTGATAAATTGCTATTAAACAGGTCAGGATAAGAAAAAGTCTAATCTGATGGTTCTTTTTTTGTAGTTTTATCAAGTTTTGTTAAAAAAATCCGAACCGGATGTCTTACTGTCAGTACCTCTGGAAAATATCGCTGCCCTACGATTACAAACTATCCGGATGTGACGTGGGACTTCGTGTTGTCACAGCTCCAAGCACGGAGATAACCGTCTTCTGGGATGTTGCGGCGCGAAGTCTGGCAGAAATTGACCGACGTTTCGGAGACTCTTACCGCTTATCACCTCGGAAACGTCGGTAAATTTTTATCAATCATCCCAGAAAACAGTCGAAAACTTAACCACTTATTCATAGTAACAAATAATCGATATGAACATATCGATAGTACAAGGATCTTTCACGATCAGCTGATGGACATTTGACCGGTCAAGGAATGCGGTGCCTTTACAGAACCCGAAGGATCATAAACAATTTTGGCCTGAAGTGCTGAAGAGATATCACTGCAATAATTATGCTCACAAAAGCCCACCATTAGACCCACACTTGAGCCAGCTGAATCCAACCCCTGCCCTCAAACATCCTCTAGTATCCATTTCAAAAACATCTTCCCATATAAATCTATTGGTATGGATTTCGATTTAAATTTTGATATTTGGCGATTCCTAAACCATCGCCCTGATGGTGGAGCTCGTAAATGATGCAGAGATTAAGAATACGTAGAGATTTATCTCCACTTCCCCCATACACCTTCTAGGCGTGGTGCAGACCTTACGATCGTAAAAGGTAAAATGTCGACCTCGAAATGGAGTTCTGAAGCCTGACTTACCCTTTCCTTGTGCTTTGTTCTGGCAGGCCAGAATTATGATGATGACTAAGAAGATGACCAGCAAGATCACCAAAATCGCCACCACAGCCAGCAAGTGGCGCTCCAGTCGCCATTTCTTCTTCAGACTGCAAGACGACGGAGAAGGAATTTAAGGTTAGGTTCTCACGACAGATAAACCCTTGAAGAAAACATCTGACGGATGGGAAAGAACATGAAATGGAGGGGCAGCAGTGACAAAATACATTGCATTTAACGATGGGGAAACAGAGGTAAATTTTTTTTTTTACTATGCAAGTTCCCAGGTAGTACCCGTTCGTCTTACATTGAGGAGAAGGTAAAGCCGAGAAGGGTCTTACTGATATTACACGTGGTTACCGCTCCCAGTTGCCAAGGAACCCGACACCTTTATCTGCGATCTATACAATCCACCCACAGACAAACACTCGACGTGTTTCGCCGGTGTCACATCGATTCTAGAATTGTTTACGCGTTACTTCTTGCGATGAATATTCATTATAATGGCCGTCACACAAATCGGTCGATAGAGTCAGGCGTGAACACATTACAACATTCATAAGAAACGAATTTGTGTAGCTTATTCGGTTTCTCCACGGAGCTTCGTCAAATGTTAAGATTATTAATACCCCTGTGTCCAAGCACCACATCATGGTGCATATAGAAATGAAGGTAAACCTATAAGCGTTCTGTACCAAAGTATTTCATGAAAGCGAATCTTAGGTTAACCTCCGAGGGTAAGTCCCTTGTAGGTACTCGTCAGAAGACTAGATGGAATAAACAGCTGTTCGGTGACAGAATGGGGCAGAACCCCCGGAAGTCCAATCCTTCACTTTATTGAATCTAAACTTGGTCACAGACGGAAAATCTCCAGGAACATGAGGACCCTTCTTTGACTGGAGGAATTCGAGCCACGTAGAGTTAATTCTCTGGTACTCACCTTGTTTTGCGTGATTTTACTGGTACCAGATTCTGCTGGCTGCCGACTACAGATACAGCGTCTTCTTCACTCATCTTGGAATCCTCCCAAATTTCAACATAATCCGTTCACGAGCGCTTTGCGGTCAGACCACGGCGCAAACCACCAACTACTTTCTGACGTCCACGTCTTATTTCGAGCTGCAAGGAAAGACGAGGCCAGTAATTAGCGGTTAATTTTTTGCGTACGTATCAAAACGAAAGATAACTTGGCGAGATTTCAGGTTCTCACGGAATAGTCTTCTGCGACGTTTCGTCCTGTACTGTGGCAGAGATTGACCAACTTTTCAGAGGCTCTTAATATCGCGGTCCTTGATGGCAAAGGTAATGATCACCTCCGAAACGTCGGTAAATTTATAAAAATAAATTATACGTAGCAACATCTCAGAAGACCGGCATTATCATGAGTTACGCTGTGTTGAAATGTGGGGGGTAGGGGTGACATTGTCATATTTCAAAAAGTTCCTTGGACAACCCTAAGACAAATTCAAAAAACGTAATTCAGACATCCACTGTTTTATATTTCTGCCGTATTTGGAAAGGCGCTGTTTGGGTTCACGTATCCGCGGTTTCTGTAAACAAAAACAAAAAAAAATCAAGCCACTTTCGTACACTCGCTGGATACAGGGCTGAGATGACGTTTGAAATTATTTGTAATTGTGTTTCGTCCTTTTAGGGTCATTCTCATGTTTCATATGTAAGGCAAGGCTTTAAGAATTCCTAACAAATTAAAATATTTACCTGTTTTTTACCGTACGATATTTGTCTCTTGATGTTCGTCGCTCGCGTTAATGCCAGCAGATTGTCCGTCCGCCCAAATCAAGCGTCTCACGACCCGGGCTCAATGTTTCTCCAGCTAGACCTGCGAAACTATCTCGTTTACTTTACGAACGAAAAACACGGGCCGAGGACAGTGTTTTGGAATCTTGCGTGCTCGTGCACCCACAAGCGACTGCGAGACTGTTCAAATGTAAATATCGACCCTGTAACCTCGCCTGATTTTCATCACAATTGGTTCTCTTTCGGTGAGAGCCCAACTGAAGGTAGGCAAAACACACAGCTTTA